CATTCTATACTCTTATAATAATACAATTTGTTTTTATACACATCGTTTTTATACAGTTCTCTGCCCAAGTGTCTTTCTCTTTCTTGTTTTATACACTTTGTTTTATACAATTTGCTTCGACTGTATATGTATAGCGAAATATACAGTTTTTATGTTTGCTATAAAGCGCAATTATGCAAACTTTACTACAGCGTACAAATATGAATTTTTTATTTGCTATATGTGAAAGTTGCCCAGGTGTGTGTTACATTTTGGCCCATAATGTTTTGATTGTTTGAAAATTCAGAACTTAGGTATGTTCACTAAATCCTATTAATTTATCATGATTAAGTCATAAATTTAGGTGAAAAGGTATAGTAACTATAATTTAATGATATATTAGTGTATCCAAAGGGTAAAATAATTTTAGCGACACTAAATATTTACACTAATTCAATATATACATGATATATATTTGTACATATGTTTTTTAACATTTAATCATATGATTAATTAACAAACATGCTCATCTTATTAATAAACATGAACTTTAATTCAAAAATTTTACTGCACATTTATCAACATTGGTAAATTCCTCTAAACATAAATAAGAATAATATATATCTAATATATATCATGCACCTGATCTTAAAAGAGGATTCAGAATCATCAGTAAGACAAAATAATTTATATTCTTTTGTTTTTAGTCCATAAAAAATCATTTATATTCGAATAATTGTTTTAGCAAATTGCTGCATTATTGTTAAAAATAAAGAGGTAATGTCTTAATCACTTTAATCTGGAAACTTTTCCTTCATATTTTGTCAAATTAACATCGAGTTGAAACATCTTTTTTGAAATTTACCTTAATTATATTAGCACTTATTCTTGCCTAGTCCTATAGAATATTTAGCATGATTTTTTGATACATAAGCTAAGCTTCTTTAATTTCACTAAATATAGATTTTTTATTTTTTATTTAGTCTGTAGATTAAATTTAAATTTGCATCGAAAAACCTCTTCCAACAAAGAAAATTTTATGTTAAGAGTTCAAATTCGAAATCTTTAGTTAAAAACAAAAATTGACCCAACCCTTAGTTGAGATTTTACTTGTTGTTATTGAGATAACCTGTGAATGGCATAATATCAATTGCATATATGAGATAAAGAAAAAGATGAACACAATATTTTGGTTTGACCAATATGCCTATGTTTTCATGTAAAAAAAAAATAAAAATCTATCAGGTTCGAGATGTGAATAAAAAAAAATTTTACTAAAAAGATTTTCTTCCTTAAATAGATATTACACACTAGAAACGACACAAGCAATAACGCCCAAGATGATGTCCATAATGATTAATTAAAGTTTATTTGTTCTAAATTTGCCATCAAATTCATAATTCTCTAAGTTACGATTAACCATTATATATATATATATATATATATCTTAAACAAATACAAAAAATAAGTTAATTAGCTACATCTGAACAACAAAATGTCATCAGATGATTAGCCACAAAATTAAATATATCATAGTCATTAATCTTTGTTTGACTTCAAATGCATTACATAAATACTGTAATTTCAGTGAAGATAATATTATAATTTTCCACAAACGTACATTTTAATCTGATCACAATTAAATGTATCATATAGTCTCACCTAAAATGTGACATGTTGAATTATATTTGTTATGTACCAGGATCAAGTATATCACATTTTGTTACTTTCTTTGTCTAATACGAGAGTTCTTTTTCTGATCTGATTAGTTAAAATATTATTTCATCTTCTATCATATATTAAAACCAAATCCTAAATATTCTAAGTCAAATATTTGACCATTTCTGATAAATATTCCAATATAAGTCAAATATTATTAGTGGAATATATAGTTCAATTCCGGCCCCAAAGCTTTTTCAAATTGGAAATTCAATATTTGCATCCAATTGGTCAAACACTCTATTTATATAGTTGTCACAAAGATTATTTTTTCATAACAAAAAATAAAATAAAATTTGGGAATCAAAGTAACCCATTAAGGTATGAACAAAAGAAAAAAATTAAAGATAGACGATCATAAAAAAATATAACAGAAGCCTTATGAATAAGGATCGAAACTTCTTCTAGAGAGTATAGTTCCTGTCTTAGTGAGTCATACGCAACGTAAATCGACATGAACATTTTCCAATTGAATATGCATTGAATACAACAAAAAAACAAGTACTATTTCTAATTAGTATCAAACAAGGTGAGGTTTGTTTATATCAACTCTTCGTTGACCATATTATTCCCTTTAAATTCATACTCTTAAGGCAAACATTATACAAAATAAGTTCTTAATAACAAATATGTTTATAAAAGGAAATTAAAAACGACAACGATGATGAATAAGAAGAAAACGAAGACGAGGAGAAACTCGAAGCTTTTTTCCTATATACTCTATATAGGAATTCATCGCTATTCCTTTCCTCCAATAATATAAAGGTTCATCTGACACACGAGAAATATTAAACTTAAAAATTTAAAAATTGCAAAACTTAACCTCACTTTCTTATGATCTTTTTTGGGTCTTCTGCTCCAAGAAGTTCCTCTAAAACACTATCATCAAGATACTCAAACTCAATAATCTCTTTGTCTTGATGACCAATTGATGAAATTCCCCTCTCTAAACTTCGACTTGGAATATTAACATTTAATGATGTACGATAATTATAATAATGTGGATCATTAAGCTTAGAGTAATACTCATTTGGAAAATTCAAAGTTGCAAGATGTCCCCTTAGGTTAAATGCTGCCTTATCATAGGCCCTAGCCGCGTCCTCGGCCGTATCAAACGTCCCTAGCCATTGACGAGCCCCTTGTCTCGTTGGGTCACGTATCTCCGCTGCAAATTTACCCCACGTACGTTTACGAACGCCTCGATATTTGATCAAATCATTACTATCCTTGCTATTTTCTTTCTCTAATTGTATCACTTTTTTTCCTTTAGAAGAAGACGAAGAAGAACTACTATCCATGTTGATTATTATATGTGAGAGATTTTTTTTTGGTGGCACACACCACATTGACATATTAATTTTGGACATGCCAATGTCTACTTATATAGAGCTAGCTAAAGAGATTGTGACTCATAAGATTGTTGAAATCAATGAATCTTTATTTATTTTTTTTGTCTTACTACACTATGTAAATAATCACATTTTTATGCCATCATGCCACATGTGACTAATCACGTGTTTACACCATCAAATCACATTTACATGTTATAACAAGAAATTATTAGGATTTTTTTTTATACTTAAAAGTGTATGTATATAATTTAAATTGTAAACTTATGTTGTGTTGTTTTATAATGGGTATCTAGAAAAAAAGAACTTTCTTTGCATGGAAGTCTCTTAAAAAATGTCAATAAAATTCGATAATTATTCTACCAAATCTAGTATACTACTATGCTTATATATATTCAAAGAAAAAAAGATAGAGATAAATAGTTGAAGCTACTTTTCACTGCTAAAACTTTATATCTATACAGTGTTTTAGGTTGGAACTTTTTCTTGGAGATAGATTTTGTTGATCAACATGATAGTGAGGTTGCAAGAATATTGTAAGGTGGTACTATAATATAATATAATTAGCCAAACACATATCTAATATGTAATGTTCAAGAATATATATATTATAATTAGTATCAAATGGTCGGGTTGAACTGAATTTGGACGTTAAAATAGATCAAACTAATATATTAGCGAGTTATAGTGTCTCACTCAAAAGTAGCTTGGGCTGAAATGATCTACAAACGTATCATTACAAATTTCCTCAATTCTTATTAGTTATTAAGTTTTAATTTTATATATATATATATATATATATATATATATATATATATATTCTTATGAATTATTTGGACAGTATATCAACTCAATATTTTATGAGCTGAAATGAATTAGGATTGAACAATTAACCTAATAAATGAGTAGATTATTAAATCATTTAAATTTAAACGAGTTCAACAAAT